ATACTTAAAGACAGCTCATCCATTCAGATTTCCCTAAACATCTTATCTGATTTTAGTAATCAGTCCGGTTTGACTTTAAATTTAGAGAAGACAGAACTACATGTAATTCTAGTAGGCGATCAGAATGGGGGGATGGGTGCTTCCACAGGGCCTATCGCCGTCTTTGGGTCCCGTTAGGGTACTTGGGGTGTATGTAGGTCACGATAAATACGAAAATGAAAAACTTAAATTTTTGGACAAGAATTAAAAAAACATGAAAGATAAACTTCGGATATGGAAATCGAGACAAAGGCAAAGCATTACTGGGCAAATGCTTCGGAGCCTCACAGTTAATTTACATTATGAATTGTATACCCGTAACAGTTAATGGTATTAAAGAAGCAGGCGCATATCTATTTAATTTTCTGTGGAAAGGAAAAAACATATTAAGAACAATACCATGCTTGGCCACTTTTCTCAAGGTGGCGTTAACTGTTTAGATCTTGAACTAATGAATAAAGCATTAAAATTAATGTGGATAAACAGAATATTAGAATCAAAGTCATCCTGGTCTAATTTTCCAAACCATTATTTTAATAAATTGGGAGGGCTGGCCTTGCTTATGAATTGTAATTATTCGATTGACTAGCTCTCAGTCAAGATACCTATTTTTTATCGTGAAATTCTTAGTCACTGGTCAGAGTTCCGAACCTAAGCCAGGGATGCATATAATATGGAACAATAAGTACGTACTTATTGATGGAAAATCGATATTTTACCGCAATTGATTTGACCACGGGATGATCAAATCTGCATTAAAATGGCGTACGTCGCCAACGGAGACGAGACCTATTTGCGAAAACTATATGCGATTTAGCAAATTCAAATGTAATGACTACTACAATGTTTTAAGAAATTCAAAATTTGAGAAGGCCACTGCATTAAGCACCTTTGCTAGTAAACAATATGCAGATGATGTTGACTGGCAGGAAGCCTGGAAACAAATCAAACAGATAACAATCAACGAAAAAATGCGCGGATTTCAGTATAACATTTTGCATCCAATTCTTGTGACAAATGTTTTTCTATACAAAAATAAGAAAATTGACGATGACAAATGCAAAAACTGTGACCTAAAAGAAGATTTAGAACACTTGCTGTGGGAATGTGCAGAAAGCCAGAAATTCTGGCAAAACTTTAAAATATTTTGGATAAATATGTGCCGAAAATATCAATATTTGTAAAAAATAGGTAATCTTTAATTCTGGTGGTAAAAGTAACTTTCAAGCCCTGTGGAAGCACTTAATTTTACTTGGGAAATACGAATTATATATTGCGAGGTTCAATAATTCTAAACCAAACTTAAACTTATTCATTGAAAGAGTAAAACAAACCTTTAACCTAGAAAAAGCGATCGCAGAACATTATAACAAACACGAAATATTTGTTAACAGATGGGAAAATATAATGAAATACCTAAGAAAGATAAAAATACTGTAAAATATATATATATATATAACATGAACGACTTTGACCTTGTTTTTTGTGTTTGTGTTTTTGTATTTGTATTATGATCAACTCTTTTTGTTCATTTTTTTTTTGTATTTGTTACTTAACTATTATGCCAAACTGCAATATACGATTAATTAAAATCTGTGCATTGTATTTATTACATCACACTTTAATATACGATTAATTAAAATCTGTGCATTGTATTTATTACATCACATTTCAATATACGATTAATTAAAATCTGTGCATTGTATTTATTACATCACACTTCAATATACGATTAATTAAAATATGTGCATTGTATGTATTACATCACACTTCAATATAAAAAAAAACAAAAACAATATACCAAGTTTGACCAAAATCGTGCGTACGTGCGTCTGTGCGTGCGTCAGGACGTGTATCTTAGAAATGCCTGGACCAATCACAATCAAACTTCACACATATATCATACATGATATTATACATATGCACATCAATTTGTTTCACGATCTGATTCAAGATGGCCGAATGGCGGCCATTTTTGTGCTAAAAATCCTAAAAATCAAGCATTTCTCGGCTGTTTACAGATGGATTTTGTTCAAACTTGGTATATACATTAGACGTTATGGAACCTTGATGCAAATAATTTTGTTTTTCAGATAAGATTCAAAATGGCCGACTGGCGGCCATTTTGTTTTAATGAATGTGGCTCTCGTGCCATATCTCTGACTTGCTTTCACTGATGATATTCAAATTTTAAATATTCATTATACATGATGTCATAGACAGACAGATATATTGGTTTGACGATCCTATTCAAAATGCCCGAATGGTGGTCATTTTTGTGCTAAAAAATCATCATATATCAAGCATTAATGGATGGATTTCGTTCAAACTTGTTATTATATGTCATTACGTGTCTAAATACATTATATTTCGTGTGATTCAAATTGTTGACTGTCTCTGTGGTTATCTACGAATTCCGTTAAGACGCTATTGTCCTGGTCGCTGATCTTCAAGGTCACGGTTGATTACATCTCCCGTTCGCTTTACTACATGTAAGCCGGCTGTACAAAAACATATGTCATACAGTCTTCCTGCCTTATATGAATGCATAGTAGAATAGTTTCTCAGAATTATTAATGTTGCTTATTACATTGTATGTACACATATGTTACTATTGTATGCCAATGTATTATTTATTGTTCTAATATCTTTTCAGTAGATGTATGTTTCCCTAACCCGTGTATGAATGGTGCAACGTGTGTTAGGTCACCACAAGGCAACTCTCATATCTGCACATGCGCCGCAGGATACGAAGGATACGACTGTAGTCAAGGTAACAGTGATGATATTGTGTTGTGAAGGGAGCGGTACGAGTCCTCCTATATTTTGGATTTGGGCGCATTTTGACTTCAACGCAGTTCAAACACCTGCTCTTGGTAGATGTGCGTGAATTTTGAAGAAAAACAAACGACCACCAAATCTTCCTCTTGGAATATTTTTGTCATTTACTTTATAACGTATTTGTTTGCTAATGCCGATGATCTCAGTGTAATTTAGCATATCTCAGGCCATAGGTCATTCCTCGCGTAATGTCACAATTGTGCGCTATTCTGAGTCATGCCACGTCCATGCACCAAAATACGTCACATGATGGCGCAATTTTGTCATCACAGAAACGCAAATTTCAAATCAGGCAAAGCGCTTTCAGAGCCAGATTGCACCCCAAATATAAGTCAGACACGCATAGTGAAACTGAACATCTATTTAAGCAAATAGCAGTTTTCTTAAATATGTAACACTGTACTAAAACTTATTCAAAGCGTTTCTATTAGATCGATCCACACATTTTTACACATTCCATAAATAGGCTCACTTTGGACCATTATTTCTGTAAATGTTTAACTCGCAGAAAAGAATCGTTGCTATCCCAACCCATGTAACAATGACGGACAATGTACGAATTTCAGAACGTTTTATACATGTAAGTGTGAAGGGTCTTGGTCTGGACCAAATTGTGATAAAGGTACGTAGACGTATTGTATCATTAGAACACGTATCCATTAAAAGCGGCCGCGGTATAAAAATCGCCCATCGCATAATTAAAAATGTCATTATTTTGTACATAAACAACGTTAAAGACAGGGTCGATTTGTGATTTTTTACCGCTCGCCAGCAACCTACATTGGTAATTAAAATAATCTATATTTTACCCAACAGGCATGTTGAAACATATTATATTATTATTATTGCCGCGATGAATGCAACTTGCTTTTAAAATGTCCAGCAATATATTAATGTAATAAGATGCTGGGCGTCTTGCCTGTTGGGACCGAATAATCAAATACATAAAAATAGCCCCACATCTCGATGACGTGGACGCCATCTTGACGATTTTCATTGAAGCATACCCTGGCTAATGATACTAAAATCAAAATGTTTACGATGCTGGATAATCAAGTAAGAAATAGAGAAATATTTGTCGAATTGCTGCTTTATGAGAAATGCGACGTTTCAACTCTTGATGGCGCCATGTATATATTACTTTGTTATCGAGTTTTTCAAATGTTTTAACAACACCAACATACACACAAAAGTGTAAATTAATTTTAGCAAACTGTATACTGAAAAAGTAAAGTATAAGTTATGTCCCTTTTATTTAATAACAAATTATTTGTGTTTGCAGCTGAACTGACACAGCCAGTGCATACCTTTGCACCGTCAGACGTGAGGTTGGGAACAGCCACTGATGTGATGACACGTGATAACGAGGGCGACACTTACGGAATATCGGAAGCTTGGCAGACTGGAATTATTGTAGCAGTTGTACTCTTCTCGGCCCTGGTAATGATTGTCACTGGGTTCCTGGGATGGTTCTTGCCAAAAAGTCAAATTATTCCATCGGCGTCTAGTTCACGTCATATGGAAAGGATTCATCGAAGTAAGTAAACAATTAACACATGATTTACGAAGTTTTTCATTCTAGACTATCTGGTTACATTCAGTCTACTGTGATTCTCATTCAACTGAGATATCACTGTACATATTTCCAAACATTCGTAATCATGAAAAAGGCATGTAGCGTGCAGTGTCTCGTCGCATAATCTGAACATTAAGATTTGTTTATTTAACATAATAAATACAAATTTCACTCACACCTTTCATATTAATAATATAATACCCTATATGGTACATAGTATTGTACATACTAGATAAATTGCAATTGTTTTTAGAGAGTGGGCGTGTAGCTATTTGTATATTGGGTATGTTGACAACTTTAAAATTTCTGAAATAAACCAAAATTAAATTTGCTTTAAACAAATATTTAGCTTGATACATAAGTCCTATCATAATTTTGTTAAGGATTTCGAAGTGTTTTGTTGACTACACCCAATACAATTGATGTAAATATATTTGAATGTGCTTCATTTCATGATTAGAAAAAATAGTCAATTTCTGTTTACAATATCAAAGGGTGGTAGTCTTCGCGCCGCGCATGCGCAATATATGGGTCTCATATAAACAAGCCGGTAGGCTGGTTGGCAATCCGCTCCGCTCAAAAAACAAGCAAGGACCAAATAGGCCCAGCCAAAAAAATCACAGAAGAGTTAATAAAAATTCAAATACTTTGTGCCCAGATTCAAGCTGAGTAGAATGAGCTATGTCTGAGGTGTTTTATCCTGAATTTGTAGGAGATGATACATTTGGCGAGAAGCTATCCAAAAATCAGTTTTTGGCTGTTGCTAAGGCAATGGTGGGCCAATTTTTTACCACATTTTTCCTACTAACTAGGGTGAATGTGTGACTTGCCTGCCAAGTTTGAGCGAAGTCGGCCATGCCAAAAAAATCACACAAGAATTAATACGTGAAACACTAGAAATCACAAACACAGACACACATACACACACAAAAGTGATTTTAGGGCAATCCTAGCGGAGCGGGTCGCCACTAAAGATGGCGATTTTGGATGTAGCGCACACGAACGAGAACAAACTGAGAGGTTACCAAGGTTTGTTTTAATGTTTGGAAGGTATCGATGAGTCGCTGGCGGTAATTGGTGCAGGTGGCGCCCAGGGCAAAAATTGTACTCCTGATTTTGTTGAAAAGCGCATTGGATTGTGGGAAAATCAATGTTTATCAACACAAATGTCACAAATGCGCGGCGCGACGGCTACCGCCCCTTAAACAAATATTTGTTGGGCATAGCATTTCAAACTCAGATTACAAAAAAACACAAAAAACACATTTTTTTTAGTGTGTGTTTTGTGTTCTTCTGCAAATCAGAGCTATCTTATTGTTTGTCAGATAACACGCCAAGGAGACAGGGAGGGTATATGTCGTTGTTGAAAAAGAGACTGTTGGAACGAATCACGGAAAATAACCTAAACAGCAGACGCGATTTGAATGATGTCAAGAAATTTGTACATAAAAATAACATACCGATGCCAGATTTTACTGCAGCTCGACGTTTGAACAACGGGACGTTCTATGGTCGGGACACCACGTACATAAGTATCAGTAAACGTAACGGAATTGCTTATTTAGAAATGATACGACCTGAAGGGGCACCTGTACCGTCTCGTCTGAAAAGATGCAACATTGAACTAGAACAGGTAGCTATGAGAAGTGACAATGAAACAGTCCAGGGGGAACCACAGCTCCTACCACCATTACCACCATCACCACCACCATCACCATCACCATCACCACCACCACCACCATCATCATCATCACCACCATCAGCATCACCATCACCACTACCAACACCATCACCACCCTCACCACAACAACTGGAACAGTCACCACCAACAGCACAGCGGTCAGAGGAACACTCGCAAGATCAATCTGAACAACAACCAGTTGCAGAGCAACGCCAGCAACAATCTGAACCACAATAAAGTGAATTACCGCATAGAACATAACTACATCAAATCTGATCATAGCACCAACATATACCCTCTAGACTACAGTATCTCCCCATCTCGGCATGTGTTTAAACGTGGTCCAATCAATAGTTTCACAATGACAATGAACGAATTGATCAAATACATCATTTAGCCGTATGGAAACACGTACTGTTTACCATTGAGATAAATTTGACATATTTATGTTATCCCCTTTTTAGATTGTACACAGTACACATCTATATATTGGCTATTTAGCACTATAGTGAGTTTTGTACCGATGTTGTGATTTACACGCGGGCTAAACTCCGGGCTTCTTGCATGTCACTCGTAAACCATATAAACATACTGAGTCACAATTTAACAATATTAATCGTATTTCTCGAATTTTATTATAATATCACGTTCACAAACTAAACTCTAGAGGTGTTAATTGTGGGGACGTACGAACGTGGATCTCAATCATGTTATCAAGTGTTATTTTTATTATCAAAAATGTCGAACAATTACAGGCAGCAAAAGTCTACTTACTGCATTAGCGGATATAGTGATAGCGCCCTCAAATTTTTAAACTATAATCTCTCCAGTCACTAAGCGACTGAAAATTCAGATGTTCAAGTCAGCTTTGAAATTCAGCAAATATCAGCGCTATTTAATGCTTAAATAAAAGCCGTTGAAAAAATTATATTGATGTTATCGGTGTCTGAATCATAAGAGAAAGTAAAACTTTTCATGCCGTATGAGCAAAAGTTTGATTGATACTCGCGTTGTATGCCAGCGAGCAAGTTTTAAATCGAGAATTGAAGGTTTACTCACAGTCCCTCTCTATCTATGATAGAGGGACTGTGGTTTACTGGGCGATTGTATTCCATGCGTTTTGTATTTGTAACATAAGAACACTGTTTAACAGGGAACAATATATCTGTGTTTACGAATAAGACGTGCATATGAATTGATGAAGACAATAAACGACGCACGTGACCTTTCAACCTATTTAAGTAGGTTGTTGGTATGTCATCGTAACTCTGGTCGGACTTGGCACACAGTAAACTAGTAAACGACGACGGCTTTGGTATTGTAGGTGGAGTGTTTCCACACTACGCTGTATATATGTACGGTACGGTGAGGTACTCGGCACTGTCAGTAGTTCCACTATCGCTGAAAGTGACGAATGTTGGCGATATGCACGTCGGCGTTTTTACCATTGGTAGTGTTGATGGTATTCGCTGGCCAGCTCGAAGGCGACACTACAGGTAGGATCACGTATATCTCAGTTATACTGCTTGATGTATTTTTTTTAAAATTTACCTTAATCTCTAACACCAAAAAAGATCGTAGAGAACAGGTGACGTAACCTTGGTAGGTAATAATAGTTCTCGCTTTTATTGATGTGTCGGACAAGGAATGCAAGACAACGTATTGTGTAGTTCATTTACATCACAAAGCACCTACACCTACGCAGTTTAATGTGTTCTCACATGCCAACTGTACCAGTATTTTTACTATATATGTGTACACTCAACTGATATCGTTATTATGAAGCCAGCCACGAGTACATGTATAATGTACATTCTTCGCGTATTTAAGCAAGGGAATAACTTCTAAAAATAAACGCGATATTTAATATAATTACTCACAGCAAGACAGTGTACATATAATTACGTGCACTGAAAGGAGATGTTTTCACTGTCACACTATATCTGTAAAACTGGCTGGAGTTCAGTGTGCTGTTATAGAAGAAATAAACCATGTGTGTGAAGCATAGTGGAGGGAATAAAGCGAGAATTTCCTTTATCACCGACTAATCGTGTGGGGTAAGGTTTTGGTGGGTACCAAAGTTGTATGCAGTCTTCGTTTGGGGTACTAGTTTTCTAGAACGCGTGGCTGATCACGTAGAAATCATAAGTATGGATAAGTTAAACAGTTTATTTCGAACTAAGCTAAGACAGAGCGATTAATATCGGATGAAAGTTTGTATGCGAAAATTATCACATAAAATCAATATAAAAATTAATAAATCAACAAAAAAAATTCAAGTGCGTGCCAACCTGACATTACCGAATTCAATCAATAATATACACAAAACCATATATCATACCGTGAATGGTCGCAAAATAATTGTGACAAATAATGGTAGTGAGGGAGTCAATACCGTCATGCCACGTCGTACAATTTTATCAGAAATGTATAAAACATGATTGAACGGTCAGTCGAACGAACGAACAAAAAAATAAACATCCATGATATTAAAAAGCACCAATAAACAGATGTTGAATTGTTGACACTAATGTCGAATTATACACAAGTTTGAAACCAGTAAACCACACATTTTCCGCGGTTTTCTGTGAGATTGACTTTATATTCATTGAATCGCTAATTACATAATACCTTATGTGGGTATTTTTCTTCGCAGGCGAGCCATGCAATTCAAACCCTTGTCAGAACGGCGGCATCTGCGTTGGTACCCCTGGAAATAATGAAACCATGACGAACGACCACGTGACACAAAGTGGATATTACTGTCGATGTTTGCAGTGCTATATTGGAACAGACTGTCACACGCGTGAGTAGCATGAGAAAAATACATTATTTGTGTGTGTGAGGGGGGTGGGTGAGCATTTTGTTATAATATGCCAAGCAAGGAGAGGAGCTGGACACGGTAATGTATAAATCACAATATACCCCTCAGTTTATGCAAATCAGATAAACATACTGCAGATTGCCGATTTGGGATATAGAAAAATGTTTATTATTATTATTATTATTATTATTATTATTATTATTATTATTATTATTATTATTATGTTTTTATTTTGTATAGATGTAGGTATGGCATATCACCAAGTTGTCGGAATGATCAATTTGTACCAACTATGTAACTTTTAAATTGAAATTTCACAAGTACTTTGTAGTATTGGTCACAAAATTAGACAGCATCGCAATCTGTTTTTGTTCAAAATAATCGCCATGTATACATCCTCAACGCTATCATTATATAAACATAATATACAAATACAGTTGTCATGAAATGAGTTGTGTGGCCCATCCAGCTCGATATAAAAAACAACAGATCTTCTCATTTTGTGACATTTTCGTAGGAGTGACTTGTCATTTATAGTACCTACCTGCCGTAAATGCAATGTTCGGAAACAATTGTCCTTCTGTTGAAAAGGTTAACAACATTCAGAGAATACATTTATTGAGTCAAAACTACGTAATCACGTGGACGATTAAAGAGCCAGACTCCGTACAGCACAGTTCGAATTCCATGTAAACAATGTATTTACACATATTGTGTAAGTCATGTGACCCATAACGAACACTGCGCAGAGGTTCACCTATTGGGCTTTCTGACGCCGAAAAGACACCGTGAAATATTAATACAGTTCTATGCTGACTGTATCGACAATTACATTTTGTGCATTGGCACATATAAAACAAGCTGATATGAAGACTAGATATAATAAGTGGGTATATATAATTGATATATGACTACTTGTTGGGGTGGATGGTGCATAGGAAACGACAAGCATTTTTCGTTGACTTTGGAGTGTCCACCTCATTTTCAACAATGTCCTGACATTCGCCAGGCAAATACACGGTATAACACTGTCTCACTCATGTAAATAAAAGAGTAGCCTTTAGTGTTGGAAAATAATAACATATTATTCTTGTGAATTACTTTCAGATTTGCCGGAATGTCACATGCACTGTTACAATGGTGGCCATTGCGTCATGGATAGTTATTGCAGAGAGGCGTGTGAATGTGCGACGTGTTTCAGAGGATCCTACTGTGAGATAGGTATCGATCTATTGCTTTCATATAATGATGACAAAGTTCTGAATATGTCGACCTGGGTATTTACGGGTGAATCTGGCAGTCTTCAATGTGTATATAATTTTGAATAGAACATTACGATTTTATATCTGGGCGTTATTTAAATCTACACTAAAGATCGGATGGTTCCCAGTATATATGGACACAGTCACGTTTGGATATCGATAATGTTTCGTCTAATATGTGTCTTCAAATTCTTTGAATATTGGAATACTTGGAACTCTATATTAAAATATTTATCATATTCATCGATTCAATTTAATAGATTACCACTGATTCCACATTTTGTGCGATGAATATTACATCACTTTCCATTGCAGATTTCCCACCCGTAACCCTAATCATTCCGACCAAGTCATTCTGGCTGTGACCCAAGTCAATCTCGTCAGTGGTACAGGGCATATTTTCCGTTAGGCAAGTGACCATGTGCGTGACCTAGTCATCCCGCCAATGAACCAAGTCATCCTGTTCCATATCCAAACTACTGAAACTAATGAGACTTATGAAACCCGTATGTGACTCAAGTCACCCTGCCCGTGACCTAACAATCCTGACAGTGACCCAGATCACCCTGCCCGTGATCCAAATGACCATGTCCGTGACCTATCAATCCTGACAGTGGCCCAGATCATCTTGCCCATGATCCAAATCACCATGTCCATGACCTATCAATCCTGACAGCGGCCCAGATCATCCTTTCCATGATCTAAGTCTCCATTTCCCAGACCTATCAATCATGACATCGGCCCAGATCATCTTGTCCATGATCTAAGTCTCCATTGTCCCAGACCTATCAATCATCCTGCACTTGATCCAAATCACCATGTCCGTGACCTATCAATCCTGACAGTTGCCCAGATCATTCTGCAGATGATCCAAATCACCATGTCCGTGACCTATCAATCCTGACAGTGGCCCATATCATCTTGCCCGTGATTCAAATCACCCTTCCCGTGACCTATCAATCCTGACAGTTGCCCAGATCATCCTGCACATGATCCAAATCACCATGTATGGACCTATCAATCCTGACAGTGGCCCAGATCATCTTGCACATGATCCAAATCACCATGTCCGTGACCTATCAATCCTGACAGTGGCCCATATCATCTTGCCCGTGATTCAAATCACCCTTCCCGTGACCTATCAATCCTGACAGTGGCCCATATCATCTTGCCCATGATTCAAATCACCCTTCCCGTTACCTATCAACCCTGTCAGTGGCCCAGATCATCCTACACATGATTAAAATCACCATGTCTCCGACTTTTCAATCCCGCCAGTGACTAACATCACCATGTCAATGCCCTATCAATCCTGACAGTGGCCCATATCATCTTTCCCATGATCCAAATCACCATGTCCGTGACCTATCAATCCTGACAGTAGCCCATATCATCTTGCCCATGATCCAAATCACCATGTCCGTGACATATCAATCCTGACAGCGGCCCAGATCATCTTGTCCATGATCTAAGTCTCCATGTCCCAGACCTATCAATCCTGACAGTGGCCCAGATCATCCTGCACATGATTCAAATCACCATGTATGGACCTGTCAATCCCGCCAGTCACTAACATCATCCCGTCAATGAGTTAAGTCATCTTGTTCATGAGCTTTTAAGCCTGTTAGTGGCAAAATCATTTTAACCATTATCCAATGCATTCCAATTCACCATGTCCGTGACCTACCAATCCCGTATTCAAAGTCATCCCGTGTGCGCCCCTGTAAGTAATTTATTACGTCAGTGGCCAAATTTCCTTTCCTTAGTGTCTCAAGTCTTCATGTACAGGATCCAATACACGTATCAATGCCGTCAGTGACTAGGTCATTCAGTCCGTGATCCAAGTCACCTTGACCATAAACTACAAAACCCTTCAGCGACCCAAGTCAAACTGCACGTGAACTATATTACTTTGTCCATAAACTATAAATCATTTTAGTGGTCAGTCGTCTGTGCTCAAGTCACCCTATATGTGACCCATCAATCCAATCAGTGGTAGAGGTCATCCCATCCATAATTCAAGTCACACTGTTTCTTGCCCAAGTCATCCTATCTGTGGCCAAAGTCATCCCAGCTTGGATGATTGGATAGTTAATACATCTGATATTATTGCATGTTTGCTTTTCAGTATCAGATGGATGTTTGACCAGCCCTTGCAATAATGGTGGCGTGTGCCGTGAAACTGGCGATAAATGCAACGATTTTGAGTGTACTTGCCAACAATGTTATTTGGGACAATACTGCAGTGTGGGTGAGTTATAGTAATGGCTGTTCTAAACATGACTAGATAACATAACCCCCATCGGTATTCCGTCATAATCATACATTTAGTTGCTTTCATCTTAGAAGTATCAGCAGCAAATTATCATCCCACCTGTTCAATATGATTGGCCATAATTGACCATGTTATCTACACGTAGCGAGTGTTTGAATACACAATGATCCAACATTACTTTTCCGTTCTAGTTAAATACGAATAAGCAGCCAAATTCTCTCATTAGCAAAAAAAGCTCTTTGTTTTTTTGATATTCAATCACCACAATGTACATTCTTTCACCAGTGGATGAAGTCTGTCTCAATGAATTTGCCACGACAATAGTATTTACGACACAAAACTTTGCTAGCAATGAGAGTTACTCAACATTATCACTTGACTCGAATGAAAAAGAAGAATTGTTGATGCGCATCACCATCGGTGTTAGCGCAGCCTTGGCAACGGTTGTCATACTTGCGGTCTGGATTATCTGTTGGATGTATTGCAGAATAAAGAAAAATGATAAGAAGATAGTAGAGAAGGACATGCAAATAACACGCATGGGTTAGTATATTGATTAAATTCCGCCCTCAACAATCAGCTTACAACACCACATGCGATCCATGTTCTTATGAGGTATTCTCTGATGAATTGTCAATGTTGTGCCTGCGAGGTATTATCTCGATAGTGGTCGCTGGTAATCTAGATACAGAGTCAAACTTGTGTCAGTTTTGGAGAGTGTGACTTCATATTTTATAGAAAATACAAATTGTTGACGTTCTCGAAGTCTCAAATCTTGTCTAACAGGAATGTCAGTGGTCGGCTTTCAAATCTAAAAAATGTCATCATCATCTTCCTGTAATACAACGCCTGAAACACGTGTTCACATTTATACAAACAGAATCAGTTATCTTCCCAGCCCCAATGACTTGACCAGAATACACTACACTCGTGTATTATCATGTTCTTTTCAATCCACGACCAATCGTGGTCATCGTATAATAATCGATATTGCATATCACATAACACACTTTTACCTCTTTGAGTGTTTAGGGTTTGAGTATTCAGAGTATGAGTGTTTAGGGTTTGAGTGTTATGAGTGTTCTGTTTCATTTGACATATAACGGATTGTTTGGCATGGACGCATTCAGCCAACCAGTATAAGGCATGACGCATAGCATCCACCTAATATGAACTTTTAATAACATAACATAACGTAATATAACATAACGATTACCATGACATCCATTACCCCTTTGAGCATTCTGATGTTCAGCAATCGCATACGATATGCGTGGCGATATTAATTCTAGCAGCTATTGACCATTAACAAACCGGGGGGGGGGGTAGATTTAAAAAAAAGAATACAAAGATCATAGGCATGTATATATATTTGTTATAATAAACTTTTGTAGATTTGAAACTAATAGCACCCTGTGTCAAAGTGAAATCAGAATATATGGTTTAGTTCCCAAGGGCACAGAAACCATGCTGAAAAGGATCAAAAACCCAAAGGAATAAAGGGTGTAATCTGTGATATACGTAATAATTTTCATGACAACAAATACATGGCTATGATTGGACACCCATAGGCGCTTCTTAGTGTACATTACTTTAGGACGATGTCAAATAGCAAATAAAAACTGATCGTTCGCAATATCCAAATTGGGAGAGACACATAGAGAAGGAGTAAATGGAGTATTTGTTTTGCGAACGCTCAAGTCATGTGGGTAAAGGGTGGTCATGCGATATTTAATTGAACTTGACTATTCCCGATCATGATTGTGACCACGATTCGTCACGGATACTTCTCTATAAATAATAAGTATGTGGTATGTTGAACTGAAAACGCACATTTATAGGTCGCGTATTTCCCATGAATCAGAACTTTTTTCTAGTATTTTATGTATTCATTGTTTCGAATTCATCGACACAGATAACTGCCAACATTGCAATAATTTATTTGAATTGAAACAAGATAATGTATTTTCACGAACACCGCCGACCAGAGTTAAAGGGCGGTGGTTGTCGCGAAGCGCGTGATCGAATGTCATGAAAACAAACAATGATATTTGGTGTACGAGTCTCATATAAAACCTTTAACAACTTTATGGCTCTGTTATTTTCATGCCTTTACTATACCCCTAACTCTTATAACTCCCATCCTAGCTGCCTAATTCAATTGTATATCCCAATTTAGATAAATACAGGTTTCTCTGGGAGGGGCATAAACAATCAAATTGGGAACCACTAGAGGGTAGAGGAAGGGATACAAGAGAACTCCTTCAGCAGTATTTACTCGTGTGTTTATAACACAGTTTTTAGATCTTGAAACTGGATACACTAAAACTCGATGGGCGGGTAACACTTTTGGGGTTGTCATAACCTACACGATCATGTTTGGTGATTTGAAATGTATAACCTTAAAATAGTGTCAACATTTGTCTGACTCAATTGTTTTGTGTTTTACACAGCCATACTACGAGACCAGATGTACCTTGGCTTTGTGTCAAATCCACCACAACAGACTGAGGAACCAAACGAACATGGTAAATATACGGATGTTAGGTTTGAAGACAGTCATGAACAAACGGGAGAAGGGTCGAGCAACAGCAGTGGTAACGAGAGAGTTGAACCACCAGCAATAATAATTTCACCTGATGTTGAATACTCTCCCCAAAGCTCCAGACGACGTCAGAGCAGGAGAGATGGAAATACCAGTACGGTGATTAAAAACAATAACACACGTGATAGTGATGGCGTCATTGTTTCTTTAACCGGAACTACGTCTGCTGATGAATTGAATACTGATCCGCGTAGAAATCGCAGGAAATCATCTCCAACGAAAAACCATACGTCACCAAGAAGATTACGGCCGTCTTCACCGCCACGCAGAGCACACAAATCACATCAAGTGGAAATAGGTGACGCTGATGAATCGATCGAGCTTGGTACGGTTAGCAACAGAGGCAATACAGGTGATCAAATGACAGAAGAAGACTCACTTCAACCTGGAAAGCGGAAAAAGCGACGGGGTGGCGGCGCACCAGTAATAGCGAGGGTATTCGTCGGTGATTTCCCCAACCTTTTATCTTGCTTCGGGTCTGATTAGATGAAATTATAATTTTTGTAACATTAAATAAACTTTTTAGTTGTATTTAATACATATTTATACATTTACATACAGCATATCAGTACAAGGTTACATGCGTTCTGAATAAAAACAATTGGTCTTCAAAATCTCGCATATTCGACATTTAAGGAACGAGACAAGAATCCGATATGTTTGATATGTATAACGCCCAGGATTCCTGTAGAAGACAGTGACACGTTTTTCTAGTCAAGGAACTTTTCATATGATAACGCTGTCCCGCAAAATAAAAACGATCAGCGTGAGAAGAGCCAAGCGACCTATTTAGACCACGCCCATCGCATTTCCCATGTACTGCACTGTATCATGTGTAATGTTGCGAATAGAGAGCGTCGATCAATGTCTTTGTCAGTGCTCTAGACCAGGCAGTCAGAATCTATGAATTGTCAGGTGGTCAAAATCACCAAATGGAATCGACACATATAAAGGTATATTCTTTTCATGACCAAAAGTGAAGCAAAATGAGCTGTCAATCTGCAATATCATGCATGCATTTTTTTCTCTTGGTGTCTAGCTTACAATTTGTTTTAATCAATCTTCCAGTCACCCCTACGATTTCAAATGGCCGACTCTTTATTATGGTTCTAGTCGGTTTTGACGCTATCGTTTTTATATTTCCCCTCTTTTCCCGATATGTCACATGATTCTATGATTTACAATTCACATCACTGCACTTAAGATTATTTCAAACATATACACAATGGATACATACTTAAGACATATCTACTGCCAGTCAGCCTTCAAACTTGAACCTGAGAAAGCTTTGCAGCTTTATTTTTCACTAGACTAATTTATAATATTAATTGGCGATCTTAATGTCAAACGTGACCTACACAATTAAGCTGGCGTACAAGTGATAATCAAACAAATGCGATTAATCTATCGATATTTGCTTTATGGGGGAAGCATTATTGAATACGGATTTGAACTAAATTTCAAACAGTTTTCAAAATGGCTGCCCCTCCTATGATAAATACCGGGAGTAAATATCGGTAGATTAATTGCATGTATTTTATTATAATTAGGGTTGATGCATTTCATGAAGTTGATATGTAACGTATTTGTAAATAATCGGTGTATCGAGTTGTAATCGATACAGAATGTATTTACTCGGTATGAGGGCTGCAAAGGTCAGTGCAAACATTGTTATCAAGCTATGACTTGTGTACGGTGCTGGGTGTAAGTTTCAGCACGGATTTTGTTATGTGATATGTTTTATATCTTATCATTTGAATCCTTGCAGTTGTATGTCTTTATATTTGTTTATTTTATTTACCAATAATTTAAAATGTGTTTATTTAAATACTTATATCTCGTCTATAAATATATGGGCACGATCAAGAATGTCTTGTGTGGTAACTTAATAGCCTAATATGCAAATTTATTAGGTTAATTAATTCAAAACAAAATATTTGTTTCTGTTAGGTAATTAAATTGCATAGATTATATACTATTGAAAGTCGCCTATCTACACAGGACTATCGCTGATTCAATCCTTACTTTGAACGACAGTTTTGGTTTCAAATAACTCGGGGAAAGTGTTCTAGTTGTTTCTTGTAGTGGGGTGTTTGTATGTAAGGGATTTTCCACACAAAAACTGCATTTAGTCGAATTCTTTTACTCGGAGGTTAACTTGATGTAAGTAGGTCCATGTCCTAACGGACCCAGGGCAGTGGCAGTTTGTTATCTTTTCCTGATTTTCTCTTTTTTTAGTTTTAAGTCGTATCTAAGTTGACTACCTCATATAGTAAATATCAGAGTAATCACTTGTACACCGACTGACTGTTTATTGGATCACTTCTGGGGTAGTAACAATACTATCTTTCTATTCTACTTCTTTTATTGGGGGGGGGGGTAACATAACATAATTAATCTTAGCGGTTTAAATTTGAAACTTAAAAGATAGGGTAAGCAAATACAATAATGCATGTTGTATCTGCAGAACTCCGACGTCTTGGTATAACCTGTGATTACGAATTGTCTGTTGGGATACAGCGTCCAAATTCAGAAAAGTAAGTCTATACGGTAATGCAGGTGACAGTGATTTATTGATTCAACATTTATAATATATCGGGTACACGAATATCCTTCACCAAATAAATTAAAGAACGATTATTTAAATGATCCAATTTTGATCATCATAAAATTATGCGTATTATTGCGTATAAGTTACAGTTAAAGATAATATTAATAAACATCATAATTTGTAATATTAATAATAATTTTACGGTCCGAAGTTCGACGTACACATCATTAATTTCCACAACTGAAATACAAAAAAATCATTAGGATTTAAATTACAATCACATATACAAACATAAAACATGACTGGTGAATAAACAGAAAATATCAGGATTGCCGCCAGCGAGAGCAACGATTTAATGCTAAATATGCCAAATGAAATCGTAACCAACTTTGTTTCATACTTACTTATTAGACTTTCGCAGAGGACCATGGGTAATGAAGGTACTGTCTGATGTCCCGGATGCTTGATTGTATCCACGTCTTCCACGATTTAAGCAACCCTGAAAAGTAATGATGAATAACACGTGATTCAGTATGATGGCGTTGACAGTTTATTTGAGATATAATGGTGTGATTTAATTATTATATCTTGCGTTTACACATTCTGATTGATACTACATCCGAAAAATGACGTCATATTATGTTTACCTGCTCGCAACGTGTTCCAATCTCGTTTAATTTACACACCACCACAGCGCAGTGAATATACAGATCAACTTCCTCGCCTGGTTCTACGTCATCTGTGTTAACTACGTCATAGGCATCCCACCCGTAATGATTGACGTGTGGTGACCCCGTTGCGAACACGGTAATCACATCGTCTGGACAACTTGAAAGAAAAAATATGCAGAGGTGAGTCGATTTTGAGATATGGTACGTTATGTAATAGACGCGATGACGGATGTTAATGGTACGAGAACACGTGAATGCTCATCGAATAATAACAATATATGTCAGTACAATCTAATTCTTAAAATGGTATTTTATCATGTGTAATGAATCTCATATTCAGTGCTTATTCTAGATCTATGCTGGCATTAATTACTACTCACATTACAACAACGGACATTTGACAAGCGCCCTCCCTATCTATACAAAGGGCGCAATTGGACTTGCGGTTTTCGACAAGAAGTCAAAAATATCACTTTTTAGCAAAAATTACAAAAATCTTCACCAAAACTGGAGAATTGAAGATATCATTACAAGATGAACAAATCTGAGTGGTCCATATGTAGTACCTATATATGTAATATCAAAGCAATTGGACCTGCGGTTTTTTAACTAGAAGTCGAAAATATCACTTTTTACCAAAAATTACAAAAATATTCATCAAAATGAGAGAATTGAAGATACATGAAATGAACAAATCTGAAAGAGGTCCACATGTAGTACCTATATTTATAATATCAAAGCAATTGAACCAAAAATTACAGAAATATTCACCAAAATTAGAGAATTGAAGATATCATGAAATGAACAAATCTAAGAGATGTCTACCCAAGGCATATGTACACAAAGTATCAAAGCATTCAGACTTGTAATTTTCAAGAAGAAGTCGACACGAACGACGACGGAGCGACGGTGGACAATCGCTCATATGATAAGCTCCGCTCGACAAAGTCGACAGCGGAGCTAAAAAGTGTATCTACAACAGAGGGCGCTATTTACAGTAGACGTTATATGCTACAGAGGGTGCTAACACGTGTTATTTATATATAAGATCGTATTTATGGTGCTGTATAACATTTTTACACATATTTTTGATGGTATAAAATATTTTTACAATAAACGCATGAAATATTTTGATTTTAGTCATTAACGTCCTCTACCCAAATTACATGTTCATTATAATTCACTGTAAGTGTGTTTCGTGCACTTACCCATCAACGATTAATGGAAAGTGTGTGCTCCCCGGGTCATGTGGGTCATCACTCTCTGACGCATAACAATTCTCTACGAACATTTCCAGACTTGCGTCATTGGAAACAAGCTGAATTCCGAAGTAGATGATCACGCCATCACATACCATAATTGGAAAGTTGTCAATGTTGAATAACTCGGTGAACAGGTTTGTGACGTAGAGTGAGGCGGTGATGTTAAATGTCCCAAATCCCTTCAATGTTACAGTAACAGAACTGAAAAGAAATTACATTTGGATGAAAATTACCCACAACTTTGAAAGTATTGCCAGTTTTCGTACTACTGTTAGAATGATGTATGTTTTCTTAAGTTTGGTCCTCCAGAATTAGCTTTGCATCGCGATGTGTACTGAGTACGCTCATAATCATGCCGTTTTTTAGTGTTAGTGCAATGCAAAAAATTTCAAATTTTTAGTTTCTATGAATTTTAACGATGATTCAACGGCGTTCAAGTTCACGGAGACAGCTTTTCGTGAAAGTCACTGAGACTGTGGTTTTAGGAATCAACTGAAATTATCACTGCTACAAAATTTCACGATTTTCACAGACTCTCAAAATTAGCGAAAATATGCCACTCACGGATCACAATATCTGCACTGTAGTATCTGTAAATTGGAAACTGTGGGAGGGCAAAAATAACCTTTTGTAATGAAAAGCAGGGTACTGATTTTACGCCATTTGTCTTTGACCAACAACGAATGATCTACCTTGCGGCTAACGATAAGCTAATAAACTTGTCAAAATTATCTCGCTATGTTTAAATATAGTAGAAAACATATATCGAAATAATTCCTACTTACCATGGATTGGCAACAATGTGTATTGGAGCAATAGTATACTCTGTGTCATAGCAACACTCTATCTCAATGACACGTGATCCTCGTTGACTGTACACATAGTTGGAATAAATAATTCGATCTTCCACGGGGACCTCCTGTATTGTAAGATAGTACACATCATGAGCATGATCTCGTCAATCAAGGAACTAAGTGTGGGTTATCTTTGCTGGGAATTATTTTCCAAAGGTCAATGGCCAGGGTCAAGTAGCATTTTATCTAAATATTTCAATATACTTTAGTTCAAGTGTTATGTTTATTGAACTAAATATTTTATTTCCGAAAATTCAAAAAAAGAACAACCTTTTTCAATGCAACACTGTGACAATGTTGAATTCTTCATTTAAGTAGATAAATATTGCTCCTTTTTATTTGATTGTTGTACCAGTCCAACAATGAACGTCACAAGTATCTTCTCGGACTTGGCATTATTCATTTTCAATACAACATAATCAAACGCTATTCTAAAAACTGATTTAAAAAACATTTCTATGTAAATTACAATGTCACTGCGGTCGCTACATACAGTGTAGATGCCACAGAAACCATATTGCATATTTGTGGTTATGTAGCAAGACTGTATGATATCGTTTTAATGCGATTCACTCCGGCGATAACCCAGGCCCAGACGAACATAAGCGCATACGGACCTCAACCGTGAAGTCAGCGAGTTGAATCCGTAAGTGAATAAATCTCAACCTGCAGCACATGCACTGAGGGTAAGGTCGGCCGCTTTTGACAAACCCAGTATCATTCTTTTTCTCTCTCTCATCCTCTAAAGATAGTTTATAGATAAGTGAAGCTTACACGTAATAATGAAAGTATTATTTTTATTGCAAACTGTGGCAACTGATAAGATAAGTATAACTTACGTATGATGTAGTTCCGCATTCATCTAAATTAGTTTGAAATTTAAAATATTCGTGTCCATCATTAAATACACTGTTTCCTTCGCACCACGGGGATTCCAAATGGAAATCAGATGCCCCGCCTTCCGCAAGGTGCAGTAAATGTAACAACCATTCCTTTCTAACTGTGGCCGTCATAGAGTTAAAATCACAAGTAATGTTTTTACCAAATTCTGACAATAGAATAATACATAATTGTTTATTATGCGTACATTCCACAACGCTTCTAAAAGATTTCGACTCAGGATATCAGGATATACATCTCACCCAGTCAACACCACAATCGCAATTCCGTAAACATTTAAAGACCGTGTGAACTTCAGTAAGCACAGTATAATAAAAAAAATACTTCAACAAGATTACCTCTACATGCAGTCGAACAGGCGTTCCAGGAAGGATAATTATTGTTGTTGCCTTCGCAACCACCATATTCAAACTGTTTGCACGTTTCATCCCTCGGGTCATAATACCAAGCTGGTGTTTGCTCATCACACGGACCTGGATCAGGGTCGAGACAGCATTCTACACCTAATAAGACGAAAAAACAGTGGCAAGAACAGATATTAAAATCAACCATCCGTTGTAAGAAGATCAACATATTCAAAACCCGCTATGTATATGAATAATACATATGACAATAAACCTACTGCAATCTTTTAGCGTACCATTTAACAATGGTTGCGTTGGTAACATAGATACACAGTCTAGTAGATACGAGGCTTCAAACGAGGGTGAAAATAATTGTTAAATTTAGTGACCTACTCTAGCAGAATTATTAAATGAAACTGAACTGAACACACTGACACCTTCCATAGATTATAGCTCCTGGAACGTTTTGACAAGTAACATAATGTGTAACTCATACCTTCGACGATGGTATGACTGAATATACTCACAGTGATGCTCGCACTGGGCCTTTCTAACAAAGTTATTGACATTGCCACCACATCCACTGTACTGAAATTCTTTACATTCGCCGGTCTCGCAATCAAAGTACCATCTAGTTACCATGTCGCCTCTGATATCACACGTTCCAGGGTCCGGTTCCAAACAACACCCTGTAAACCAAACAAATGCAAACGAATGAAATACGACTTTTCTAGCCAATTATCGATCAACTTCATCGTATTCATCTTAATTTTTTTATTCACGTAGTTTTCTTTATATTAAAAATGAAATAAATTACTGTCTGTCTGGCTGTTCTTTGTTGAAAGCACACAAGAGAGTGAATGTTTTGGAACCGATTGACAATGGTGGTATCAGCAAAGTGTTTAAGTGTTCACAAATTAAATTACAGCATTGCTTAGTACAAACGAATGTTTTCTTGACCATGTTCATTCAGAGTGTGACCACCCCAAATGCACACACCTACATTTTATAGAACATCCTTACTTAGATATTATAAATACTATATTTGTATAAATTTACATAAGCTACCTGCCTGACTGTGTATATGTTTATATTGCACACGTTGCACTTTTGTTGGCGCTCATATCTTAAATTGTTGTGTATATTGTCGCTTAATTTGTTCAAAATACATTGGCAGCTTGTATTAATTTGCATATTTATTTTTGATTTTCAGGAAGGAATCGGAAGGACTGAAATTATGATATACAAGCTATGAGTGATATGTTGTTGTGATTGATAAAAGATGAAAAGTTACTAGAAACTTACCACAACGTGGATCCCGGAAACAATCCCATGTACCACTGACACATGTACTGCAAATAATATAACGCAATATAAGAATGGACTTTCAGAGTAATTGACTCAAATCGGAACAGCGCAAGTAATAATGATCCCCATAGTCTGATTGGTCCATGAAGACAGAATGGACTTCTAAAATCCTAGCTGATAATCTCGTTATGATTTTACACAATATTTTTTGGAGAGCTGTGGGGAATTATATCCATTAAAATACATTTCAGGTGAAAACATGTGAAATTATAAAGCGATGCACCATTTCTATCCCAACCTCAATCACGCACGAATATGTATTTCCTTCAACTGCGATGGTCATATCTCTTGCGGTTGTATATAGGCCTCTGATTTAATTTCCCCTAAACTAGTATTCATGTTACCAATACACGCCCAAAACCGGGAATGTATTTGATAACACTAACATGTTCCTTAATTACACGAGAATAAACTGGGGCTAATCGTCCCAAGAAAAAAACAACAGATCGGTATGTACAAAAATAAATCTTTTGTAAAACCATTTGTAAATAAATCATACTGACCATATTTCGCATGAATCGCTATCAATTCGAGTTTCGCGATCTTCGTAGAACTCGCAGTCATGTTCGCAATATCCTGTGTAAAAAAACGTGTTTGATATTAATGAATGTGATCTTTACCTTCTCCAAATATACTAAACTGAACATGTACATGTCCAACTATAGAGACTGATATAACAAATACGTCATCGAAATGCAGAGTACGATGTATATCTGAATATATTAGTAATGATGATATTAGTATTACGGTTCACGTTAGTGGTACTTAATTAATCGTACCTGCAGTATTATCAAATCCAGTGCATCCGTGTGGACAATCTTCATCTAAACAGCATACAGAGACTGTGGTCACCTCACAAGGCGAGCAGTTTTCGAGACAAACCGGAATAACATTAGCAGGAATGCGAGGACAAGGGCAGCCATCATCTACAGAGAAAAAACATGATATTATTTAGATAATATTATTGAATTTCTTATATTTTAGTTATATTAGAGGTCAGACAGATCCCGTCTTGCTAAATTTAGGTTTGGTAATTTGCCTTTGAGAATAGAATTGGGAAGGTTCAATGTTGAATTTCTAGATACACGAAACGCATGTTATGTTTCATTGTAGGTTATATTACAATATCCGTGTTCAACTACACAAATGGAATGCATGTACTGGGATAAAATAAAATTAACTACATGTATATGTTAAAAACAAGGACTAGTGCTAGGTATATCTTTTATTTTGTCAGTTAAGAACATAGATATAATTATATTTCTGCTACCATTAGTATTAAACAGTGCTATTATTTTCATAACTAGTGCTCTCAACTATTGTTTACTCTGTGATTCCCATGTTACTTTTGATAATTCTATTGCTACTGTTACTACAATCACTACTACTACTATATTTTTACCAGTGACTATTTGGTATCTGGATCATCCGTTTTCACGCCTTAATATTTATTCAGAAATCCTTTAGGAGGATGCAGTATGCTGGAATATTATACTCTGAAAATTCAAGATTTATTTTGAAAATTTCAGTCGTCCGCCACAAGTAGAACTCAGTTCATTCCCATTTGGTGATGGCGTGTTTTAGTTACACTAATATTTATCATTAAATACAGGTTCAATATACTACATACTGTACTCTATCAAATAGATTTTAGTTTACAACATCTATATCTGAATGTTCAAATTGAACAGAATAAAGACAATACTAAATTATAATTATTCATATATATATATTTAAATTTATGTTATATGTAAAAACCAAAGAGACGACTCACAATAACACAAGCGACATGCCATGTAAATAAACAACATGTTGAAATAGGCAGTAAGATGACGTAATCATTAGCTTAGCAATCAATCATAAATCGGGACCCTTTCATTACCTATAAATACGGAAGTACCACAAATTTTCAGAAAGAACATCGAAACAACACAAAATCGTATTTTTTAAGTTGTAGTGAATAATTTGGTGGTTTACGTTTGTTCACATCTCTTTAATTTACTTTTAACATAATTTGCATGCCTCTTTTGTCGCCGATCTAGGACGGTGCTAGACGTTTATGACCAGGATGCTTCCAGAAAATCCGTTGCGCATTAGTAGATGGAGGAAATGCCGTCTATTTGACAGTAATTTAACATATTCTATGTGAGATAGTACAGACTATGCATGTCTGCATTGTATGTGTGTAGCAATGACAACTTCAGAATTCCTTAAAAACTATTTGAAGTGTTGGGACAAATCTGGTAAGTCGCTATCCTTACTGTACTAACATAGTCAACCACCGGACACCAGTGACACGAAGGTTGTTACAAACTGGCAGTAATGACACAAAAATTCTTAATTAAAAATACAATTCGGAGAAAAAAGGTCGATAATTACAGATAGTACAGCATTATTACTTTCACTAGTGTACTACTAGATCTTTTGGTATTTCTCCCCAATGGTTACGCTGTGTGACATGATACGGCGTGGAAGGGTTTCGCTGCACGAAATAAGCTAGATTATTAAACGATCGTTTTGGGATGCCTGGTGGCTGAGGAGAAGACGTGCCGCGATTTAGTGCTGTACGCGAGCTTCACTGGATGCGTGTCACGCACGCAGTACACGTTGCGGAAACTAAATTATATGTGACAAACTTGAATCTCACTTTAAAATGTCCAAGTTTGAACGACTTTGTAGCTATGGATTCCTTGAAATATACTATCAGCCTAGGCAAAATTCTAATTGCTGGTGGACAGACGATGGTGGAAAATAACCTACAAGACGAACTCCGGTCCAGTATCTTCGATGAAGCGGAACTAATTCAGTATTTCTTGTCTTACCTTGCGCTGTTACAATTGTTAGAATTAGAGTTACAACCAATCCAGGAATTAGAAACTTCATATCTCTTACTCTACGTACAAGTACCTAGTATATTAATAAAGCCGTTATTTATTTATATATATATATATATATATTGAAAATAACTGCTCAGACGAACAACAATCGCATAAACAAGACGATATGTTAACTACTATAGAATTATATCCCTAATAGACTGGCGAAGGTGACGTGTAACAGCATTTTAACTAATATAACAAGCAGAAGTGTTCGTCAATTAAATGACAAGTCGCACGACCCCGTAAAGCACATATTAACATTTTTACAAGAAAAACGTATGGAATAAAAAAATGAACTAGTTCTGCAAAAGCACAATATATTTATATAAACTATTCTCGATAATAATCACTAATGTGAATACTTACTACAGACAATAGATTATGACAGGGCACACGAAGTGCAAATAAGTCACACTGACAAAATCTGCCAAGTTGATATGACTTTATAAGGCTCTGAATTAGGCAAGCAATTTCTATGACGCATTCTTGTAATTAACGTACAACAATTCGTAATGGCAAACAATTATATTATTTTCAATACAAACTATGAAAAAATCGACAGTTTTAGATTAATTTAAATATTTATATTCCATATTGAGGTAATTAAACTAATTCAATCATAAACCTGGTTACAGTTCCGCCCATATTGCGATTTCTAGTTACTTTGTGATGTTTGGTGGTTTGATCGATTCATACACAAAGGTAAGTACACCTCATTGTTGTTATAAATTAATTTCCGCTCGGCAACATTTTATTCATTGTTCCCATTGAGAAGAAAATGGGACAATGTTAGTAGCAACATTTTACGTATTCGTGTTAGGTGGACCGCATTTAGCATTTTTCAGTCATTATAATGCGTTTTCTCACGGGGAGCGTGTCACATTTTCGCTAGTCTGTGTTCTCGTGATAAAATGTGTTATACACAAATATGTCCAGCATGGAGATCAAGCAGAAGTGTTTGTTTGTTAACACATATCTCAGGTTTATGAAATACACTGTATTGTTTTTCTCCACACTGATGAACCAAGGTTCTTTCACTTGAGTGAGCGTGCTTGAAATAATTACTATTATATTCAGTATCCATATGTCCAAAATTTGGTTGGAAAAAAGACAAAACAAAAGAACAAAATCAAAACCGATCCCTTATTAATTCATTTAGTGAGCACAATGTGCAGCCCAGATGTTTTGTTTTATACACATACTGTATGCATGTTTGTTGTTTGTTGTTTTAAGCATATATGCCTGGACATCCACCAACAGCACCATTCTAAATGTAATAAAATACTATGATTATTTCACATCTGGATATTTTTTTTATTTAGGTATATAAATAGTGTTTTTGTGTTGAGCATGGACTTCCATGCTATGTGTTTATTTTCAGTGGTTTGAATTTCATAAATACGTTTTAACATCTTTGAGTCTATCAATTGTTCTTGCTAAGCTGTATGGCACGCACTTTGTGTTTTCCACTGTCTAAATCTTCTATACGTTGTGCAACTCATCTGTGCCAACAGTAGCGAGTGGTATTTGTTCAAGTCCGTCTGGGCAAATCGTTAAATGACATAATATCTCACCCTATAATAAAGACTACTTTCTTGGCGGCGTGGAAGTGAAAAATAAATGACATAATGACACAAACTCATTCAACTACATTACTTATTTTATCTGTATTGTGTCCACTGAGTATCTAATTAATTTGGTAAATTGTCATTATTGTTTTTGTTGCGAGGTTTTATGTATCTTCGTTAAATGTTTCAAAATATTGTTTGGATTTATCTACTTCATTATTATGTATCTGGCTGTATTAGTTTAGGGATTGTTGTTGTTGTTATGTTTAGTCACTGGGGCAGTTCATTCAACTAAAACCATGACATCGTGTATAAATAATGATAGTCCTATTTTGATATTGCCCAAAAAATATGCAAATATAGCATTCTTCTGTAAAGCATAGAAGGGCACTGATTCGTCGTGGCCAATCATGTGGGTGCTAGAATTGAAAAAAAACCCACAACATTTGCGTATAATTTATGGTTCAAAATAAACCATATATAACAAAGTTACGTAATCCTACTCACTAGGTTCACACTTCATCTGGCATTGTTCCAATGTCAGGAAATTATTAGCATTGCCACCACAACCACCATATTTAAATTCCTTGCATTCATTAGCTGCGCAGTCAAAAAACCATCTGGTAGAAATAGCCAAACATGGACCTCGATCAGGCGCGAGACAACACGGATCTGAAATGATGATAAGATGCAGTTAAATTATGAGTTTAATCGCAGGCTAGTAATACATTTGTAATTGTATTACTAGTCTGAGGTTTAATTACACTTATATTACACGAAACACACATCAAGTCACCCATAGATACACCGACGCCGACACATATAGCTTATTACACGGAGCACGCATCTAGTTACCCATAGAGACACGCACCAACCCGACACATACAGCATATTACATGGAACATGCAAAAAAACTACCAAACTACTATTTTACTTTTTACAAAGATTATGAGAATTCTTACCACAGTCAAGGTCTAGGATGCAACTCCATTCACCGCGGTCACACGTACTGCAAGCAAAGTACAATCAAAGAATTTAGAATCACATATTGACCCAAATTGTTCTTAAAAACGTCATACATGAAAATTATTAATATCCATAAGGATGGATAATCTTCTTATTTCATTTCGGTGTTTAAGTAGTAAGTACAAATCAGTCACGCACAGCCGAGCAAAAATGCAATTTGGGAAATGAAAAACATCACTGTATGTTTCACTGACCATATTTCGCACATTTCCGTATCATAGCGAGTCTCTCGATCGTTATAGAAAACACAATCGTGCTCGCAATATCCTACAATAAACAAACAAAATTACAGATTCATTGCGTGGACTGTATACTTTCATATTATTCAGCACAAATAAAAACATAGTTGGGAATAAGCAGACAGCAGTGTCGTATAACCTGACGCAAGAATAATTCCAAAAGCCATACCTAGGGTGTTTACGAATCCAGTACATCCGATCTGACAATATCCATCACTCACACAGCATATAGAGGATGACGTAACTTCACATGGCGTACAGTCTAGGAGGCATTGTGGAGCTGCTGCAGGTGGTATGATTGGGCAAGGACATCCGTCATCTGTAAAGAAGAACATCGACGTGCAACTGATAATCCCCAAGATTGCCAATCAGCATTTTTTTTATCATGTTCATAAATACACCAATAAAGACGTGTCTTTGTGGTAGGTATGGATGTTATATGCAGGTTGAGGAAATATTCCTACCCTAAATTCCTAACTGTGACCGAGTAAAACAAAATAAACATCCTAATACTTCTCTTTAAGAATTATTTAATGAAACAATGTACGAACAAATAATCTGGTTGAATTCTAGCTCCAATAAAAGTTTTGCTACCTACCTGGTCTATCCAAACAACACGCCGCGTACTCACTACCTTCTATTTGGGTACATGTATATCCACGAGGACACCGTAGTGGTCGTGGTCCACCGCATAATATCGTCCCGTCTCCATCTCTTGCGAAGGGCAGATCAAACAGACACACCTCTAATTTAATAATTCAAAATTACATTAAATATGTATCGTTTTTTAATCGACACTTAAAATCTGATTTGGGATTAGTATTTCATATATATAGTGTTATAATTTATAACGAGGCAAAGTATACGAATTTAGATATCTTACCCTTATCACAGATATTTTCACACTGCCATTGCCCATTACTACAGCGGCTGTAAAACAGTTAATAATAAAGACATCAACGTCTACCCGGAGCTTTTCACGTGATACCTTCATCTAAGCATAGTAGTACCCTGCTTCGATCATATAAATATCATTGTGATATATCGTAAAATCAATTACAATATTAGTATTTACTCGACTCGATTAATATCGATTAATTTCAATATAATACACACTGGCATTATTCACACAAGTTTAATATTAATAAGAATGCCGTTTGTCTTTACCAAATTTCGCAGTCGTTATGAACTACAACGGCACCATTTAAGTAGTACATGTCACCAACCACACATCCACCAACTGAAAGTGAATGATATTCACCATAAAACAAGTGGAACATAATTATAATAAATATAATAAAATCTGTACACAAACCGTAGTCATGAATGTATTATAAAGATTTGGGCTTGAAATATTTAGTCAATTATCACTGTTTTACATTGAAAATATTTTGCTGACATTTTTTAATACCACGGCGATATTGTCGGTCATCTAGATTTCTGGAGAATTAAAACTGGGCAGATGTTATACGGAGAACAGTGTGGCAGCGGTCTATGGTATAATGAAACATGCGAAAACAATCGATACTGAGACATAAAGATAGAACACTTGGCGCGTATGTATCGTTTTGTTACATTTTGTATTACTGGTTATACTTACTGTTTATGACAGACGTTTTACGTACACATACAGCGACATTGTGATCTACGTGGTGACAAAATTTATCTTCCGTACAACGGTCTACGATAGTCATGTTAACTCCAGTTATTTCAGGGATGTCTCCACAGAAAACGGCTTCCTGATCGTCCTCCTCCATGAGTAGGAACGGCAAAGGTCTTAGGACATCTGTAATTACAATGACATTTATTTTAATTAAAATATACAACCGTACATTAATCCATGGGATTTAAGCACCACGATGTTGTACTACTATGTTGCATTCTCAATAGTATTATTATTATTCTATTATCGCATCAAATATTACACAGAACTTTACGATATGTAAATGTCATGGTGACCGCAATTAGGCATGACAGAGTTCACTTACCACAAATAGAGAACCACATAATTGACCAATAACCATGGCGGCATATCCTACAAACAAATGACGTTACATTACGTATTAATGTTGATTCAATTAACAAAGCTAATCTGAAAATCGTTGGTTCGAATTTATCATTTTTAATTAGTGATGGGAACGTTGCAATTTTCAGTCACGTGAGAACGACCTAGTTCTAAAAATAGTCCTCTCCTAGTAAATGGATGGAGAAAGAAACTAGTGAACTGGGTACTGGTTTGAACCAAGAAAGAGAATATTTCTCAGTAAATGCAAAACCGTACGATATTGAAGGTTAGCGGACTGTTAGAACAATAACGACGATCAAAAAAGTAGTATTACAGTTAGTTAGTATATATTCAAATATCTCACCATATATGACAGTCAACAATAATTACCGCTCCATTCCAGTAAAATCTACCACGATACCAACACATTTTAACTGGGAATGACAACAAGTAAATTATCGAGGTTATATTGTGCCCCCCAAATCATTAGTAAGACACAATGACCGATGTAACTATTACGTTGTTTTCAGTTCAAAATACATTATACTCATTGCATGCTACACATTCATATCAAGCATATCAAAAAGATATGTCAAATGAACACAATAGATATATACTTAAATATGACATACGTATTGCCAACGTAAATGGAGTTGAATGTCCGGGATGTGATAGTAAAATGAAAAACTATCGAAATATATCTGTAATATATCTTCTCATTTGTTTCAATAGATGACCAAACATGTGATATATTTGTATCTACGTTCCAAACGCGCCCAAGCATTGCTGGCAATATATACCACCCTGTCACCTACATATAATTCTCATTACGTGACTGACAACATAACGTAAACTAACAATCGATAAAAACGTAAAATTGATCAAAAGGCAATAACATAGTATTTGACAGTGCCATTTGAAAATGACAGTACAGGCTTGCATCAACAAAAGGGTAATTGATCTAATCCATGCCATCCGAGTGAGTTCCTTGCGGGAGAAAACAATATTTAACAGTAAGAACAAAGTTCAACGCTCTGCATGTTCTTTATACTGCTCCACAGGGTCCTGAATAAATCGAATGCGACTATAAAGTACACAACTAAGTGTAACATATATTGTTAGAAGATCTAGAATCTGACTTACACAGCCAAGGGCAGCAAACACCATAACCATGTTGTAACATAGTACAGTGATAACCAATAGGACAATTGCCCGTGTCGACTGCCCACAGGTCTCCACTGGCACACCATTGAGTTAAGCCACCGACTTCATACGGGCGTGACCATCCACATGGCGGGGACGCTATAATAGAAAACGAAACGCACACAGGATGTCACAATATCAACGCCAGTTGTCCCAGATTCTATATACTAAAGAAATACTGAACAGTTAGAATTGAACATTTAAAATGGTATTGTGTTCTAATACTGACTTTCAAGTCAGTTAGGCACCCCATTGTTACAAAGAAATACTCTTTTTTTTATAAGCTGACAAATGTGTCATGGCATTTTATACTATTATTAAATCAATCAACGATATTAAATGATCCGAGCATTTGTTTTCATTTAACTGAGCTAAATGCACACCACTTTACACACTTGAATTAGTCACGAAAATACAAGAAAAAGAAGACTTACTGCAGAGAAGGCCATCCACGTGGCACAAGACCGCTCCATCAATACATTGGCTGGTGGTGGTGAAGAAAAATGAAATAATAAATTCTCACTAGAGAATAATAATATGTTGCATTTAGCATATTTAGTGCGAAGTTGCACAGGAAGGCAGTTATTGTAATTACTAATAACAAATCACGAAGTTTAAGTTTCTGAACGAATGAAATATATTCCACCAGAAAAAGATATGTACATAAGATAATAACAATTTGTTAGTAGTGTGGAGCGCAGTATGGTTTGTTTAAACTAATCGAGTCTCCGCGCCACTAATTTTGACTTTGAGCTAACTTTATTTCCACCAGTACATATACCAATTATCTGAATACAGTATAAATAATACATATAATAATGATGATGTAACTGGTAATGATCATAGTTCATCATCAGAAATAATTAAAAACTTATTGCTACAATGTATTGTTTCCAAAAAACAAATTTGACAAATTTCCAATTACAAAGATTTTTGTTGTCGTTGGCATTGTCGGATAACCTTCTTTTTTGTGGTGTCAGATTTTCATTCAGATCTATGTTCATTCTGCTGGTGAATGTATTTTTGGTGTGTTTCCTGAAGCTGTACAGTTTGTTACAAATTTCACGATAATGGCATTTGGGATTTGCTGGTAAACGATGGCTTACGTCAATATCAATAATAGTATGCGTTTCATCGGAGCTCAGAGAAAATGTTGACTCTCGATGTGGTCAGTTTTATTTTTATGTATGTATTTTTTAACATGTGATCATAATTCGGACATTCAATTGCAGAAAGAACAATAGGATCGACAGAATATATTACTCACATCCACAGTAACCCGTATACCAGATTAAGACGTATACATATGTATTATAAACATCAACTATAATGCTCCTATATTAAAAATGAATCGAACTTACCATAAAGCGCATTCATCAAAGAATACAGTTCCATGAGGTATTTTCATACCATTGTAAAAACAACTTTTACCTGCATTAACAAGCGTAATAAGAAACGTATAAGTTTGCAACACTACGGCCCGACAATATGATAGCCGAATAGACTAACCAAGCAGTAGAATGGGCAATGGTCTGGAAATGCAACTCAATAACCGGAATACACAGACTGTGTTATGGGGTAGCAGCACTACTCACTGACGAGGCAACAAACAAGGCGATGGGACAATAATACTGCTCGCCGACCAGGAAATACATGGTATATTACAGAGCAGTGGCGGTGACACATGGGGGTGGGGTGGCATAGGGAGCGGTCGCCCCCTCGAAAAAAATGTTGCAGGGGCGTCGCCCCCAAATCAAGCTGAAACCCTTTGTGTTAACACAATTTGCCCCTCAAAATGCAGGAAATAGAGTTTCAGATGCCCCCTTTTCCTCTAGTAATGGCGCGCCTTGGGCGCGAGGGATGGTGAGCAAATCTCGCCTCATGCAAAATGTCGTGCCGCCACCTCTGCAGAAGACCACGAGACACTGACCGGACATTAATCTGTTAGATGTGATAGTAACACTACTTACCGACAGGTCTACTGCGAGTTTGAACAAAATGAATTACTATGTATGCAGGTGAACTACAATAACTAGGCAGTAACTTCTATTACCTTCTGGGCAGCATACGGAGTAGCCTTTGTCAATAGTATTGCAAAAATAACCTTTCGGACATGCATCTACGTGAATCGTTCCCTGTATCTGAGGCGAATTATCACAGAAGACTGGACTGTTTCCGATGGTATAGATGTCATCATTACCTGGGCATGGCCCCGTAAGTGGGTCTAAAATAAAAAGTATACACTTTTTTATTGACATACTATCAGTGACACAAGATGAGAATTGTGTAGTGAATCTGGCTATTGCATATAGTTGATATGATATAGCTTATACTTGCCACAGATGAGTCCAGGATTTGTCAAACAAACAAACCCAGTTTTAAGGCAGACACTGTAATATAATAAAATGAAAATAAACTACGTCAGTGTCCAATGAAAGCGTCGTTTATCGGTAGTTTCTGTCAATCAGATCGAGCATGATTTTTACCATTAGTAATGACAGTGTAGCATGCAATATCGTGTCATGCATTGATAATTGAATATTACCTACCACAGTGCGCAGTCCCATAGACGGTATGACCCAACTGGCCACCAATGACCATCTACGAAACATCCCCAAATGGCTAGAAGGGAAAATATTTGAAAATCAACCAACTAGTGGATATGCCAAACTTGAATGTTTATTTATTAAAAAAATAGGTTACTTTGAAACAATACGCTAATCTATTGTCATAAGATATAGCAGAACAGAACCTGTTTAAAATGATAGCATGAGACGCTTACCCAAATCTAAGTTTGGAGGAGTACATTTCATATCACAATCATTACTGTTACAGCATTTTTGTGTTCCATCACAATCACCATCATGATCACAATCAATAACGCATCTTCTTTTACTAGCGGCGACACGATCACTGGTGGTAATGTTTTCCAAGGTTGTTATTTGTAATTTGGGACATGAGCCGAGTTTAATTTGCTCTGTGGTATAACAATAAAATCACGAATAAATTTACAAGGTTGGGATAATAATGTATTATTAATTGTATTTTTTCTGAGAGCACACTGACGCTCAAGACAGTCGTGTACCTGTAAAGAAATAATCTGTACAAAAACAGTTTTGGCTTGGTTTGAAAAATTCGTTGTAAAATTTTTGTAAAAAAAACCTAATAAATATATCAGTATTCACATTCATGAAAATCAGTTACATGTCAATCTCCTCTATATAAATAACGACTGGTGTATTTGGAGCTATCGATAACGATTTCTATGTACAATTTTGTGTTGTACTTCTAAACATAAATTTAAGGAAACCAGCATTTTCAAATTTTAAAAGGTTTAAATGTATCAAATTTTTGGCACAGACACTCAATAATTTTGCAAAATCATCTACGCTTGATCATTTTAATTGAACTTAAATCATGGATTTTGTTGATGTTGACGATGATATATTAATTAACACTGTTAATTAAATTACCACCTGGCGTTTTCATACTTACTTAAACAATATACTTTCACTAAACCCACGTAGAATTCTGCGTAACATCCACCACAGTAGTTTGGTTCGCAAGTAGCATCAGGGTATGCCTCGCATATAGCATAGTCACATGGATTAACAAAACACTGCACAGCAGGGAGATCATCTGGACATAATCGATCAATGGTTGAACCTGTATAAAATGGGGTGTCAGTTACACAGTTAATACAGGTGTGTTTAAATCGACCGGGGATACTATGGAAGCACAGACATACACATATATAGCCTAAACTGATTTTGTTTCGAAGATTTGAGACATGTGACAGTGTTGGATTTCGAAAATAACTTGAAACGGGGGTAATAAAATTCCCTTGACGATATACGATATTGATAATAATATACTGCCACAACATTATTAATATGATTATCAACAGTATATTTAGTTATATTGATGAATATAAAATGAGTATAAGTAGAGAACATCGCACGTGGAGTTACTACTCTGAACAGTGAAAATGGGTTCTCCAATGTTAAGATATTAAAAATAAGTACCGTTGAACATCCGTTCCTGTGCAGCTACGACCGATAGGATCATATTCACAAGAAACCAATAAATAATAATCTTCATTACTTTTATTTTTCGCATATCTGGTAAAATAATTAAAACAGGTTACAAGTTATAACGATACACGTTTTCTATTTAACATTTTCTACTAACATCACGAGGTTAGTCGGACATAACAAAAAATATAATACATTATAGTAACCATGTTCGAGTACAATGTAGATATGTGTACGGTGTTGGTTATGAATTTGGACTATTTTGGTCTGCTCGTATGATTTAAAGCTAATTTGGAGGTTTTAGAAAAGTTGGATTAGAACAGATTTCGTCTCAAAATATGTCGTTTTAGTATTAGTCAACGGTATGTATACTTTTTAAATTTAAATCTGTCAATTTGTTTTTTCTAAATTAATCGAGAGATCATAATGAAAACTTATTACTTCATTAACATCCCACTATATATGTCAGTTTTTAATACATCTAGACATGATAAAGTACCACAAAGTATGCATCCTTTTTTTCAAACGGAGTTACACTTGTTACAAAATGTAAAAATATACATTAGTTTTCCACAATGCAAATTATTTCCATAAGAAATAGACGAGGGAAAACACCAAACAGCCATGTGCGTTGGCAGGTCAATAATGAATACGTTATTAGAGCACTTAGAAAATAAACACAAGTTATTGATAGACGTTATGTAAAGGACTACCTACCGTCTTCGATGCTGAATGATATCATTCCAGCAAAAGATTTTTAGATATACCTTAAGCCAGAATGTCAAAACAGTAGAAGTCGATATGGTTTTATAGTCTACTTTATTGGTCTGTTTATTTACATTTAATTGACCACGGATTGAGTTTTTGAAAGTTTGAAAAACATACGACATTAGACTTTTCATAATCGCTACGATTGAAAACAAAATCTATACTTTACAGAAATGTTAAATTTTGCCTATAATCCATATGGCGAGTTGTTAATGGTGGAATACATGATTTATAAAGCTTTGTAATTTTGTTTACATATTGTACACTCATAAACCAATTCAAGAATAAATGTTAACCTTTTTAATTTTATAGTCATTCTGTTTAATTAATTACAGCTCCGTTACAAATATGGTAAAATGAATGTTGTGTTGTTCACTGTGCACATATACCTTTGTTTGTTTATAGTATTATGCTGAACACATGCGCTATTTACTCTTTATGTTGATTTCTAATTATCTTGCTGTTTAAGATTCTGAGAGAGTATGTTCAACACGTCAACAAGTATAAGAACATGCTATTTCTTTTTTGCAACACTTTCTGCCTCTCCCACATGCAATATACTATGTAGAAATTCTTTAAAAAATTATTGTCGTCCATATCTCAGGCCTCGTTCGTCCCTGTTACCCCTAAAGTTTTAACAAATAAAATATGAAATGCAATATACTGGGTTTTTGCAACATACTATATGATTATTCATAATTAGTTAATCAGCAAGTAAACAATTTAAAGCAATAATAATACACCAGTTAGATCAGTAAACCTAGAACTAAAATAGAATTATTCAGTTCGCCTAAACATACATTTATTTGCATGGTTTTTATGGTGTTGGTAATAAACACTTCATACGTTAGCTTTTTTATTCATACGCATTGTTAGGTTTGGTGCCACATCAGCTATACACCCCAATTATAATTACAATTTTATTATGCTGGTATTATTCATGTGAATATAATGCTTTTATGGGCATCAGTAATAAATACTGGCCATCTGTGCTATATTGTCGCCTGTGCTTTCAGAATAAAATAATTTCTGTTAGGAATGAACGAAAACCAACATTTACATCAGGACCATTGAAATAATGGAAAAAAGTAATTTATTAAAACTACATCTAATATTCACAAACCAGCCATCTCAGATAATAGATGAGGAAGTATATATATATATATATATATACACACACACATTTCAGTTACTTTACTAATAATAAGTAAAACTTGCATCACATCTTTTTCACCTAATGTAGATAGATATATTTGTACCATAGTTTATAGATGGCACAGCTTATTGTGTTTTCATACAAATTAGGCATGCTAAATGAAATGACAGACGGGTATCAGGTAAAAGATTGTTCACATTACAAACTAGGTATATGATTGATCACATTAGTCTAGAATTGACCAAATATGGTCTAGGACGAGATACATTTTGTATTTGATTCATCACAATGTACTAGGAATGACCAAATTTGGTAAAGGGTTGGACACATTGGTTCGGGATTAACCAAATTTAGTGCCAGATTGATCATAATCAAATTTTGTCTTTAATTCATACAACACATATTCATGGATACGTGTTAACCCTACATACATTTTCATACGTCGACTAATGTATTCATTTTACACATGTATAAATTACCTATATGGTAATGGCACATTTCACTGTACAACAAACCAACAGTTGCAAGATGTGCATCGATTTTGTTTTACTGAACTGATGAGAAAGTGATAAAAAAACTATTTTTGAAAATTTAGACAAATACTAATTTGACGGTATAATGATTATAATAGTAGGGCAGTCTCAATAAGAATAACAAAGTTTTGCTATCTTTTTTCTAAAGCTTCTGGAGTTTTTTTTGTATTTTAATATATTTTTTTATTGGGTACTCATAAAAATTTACATATCTGTGAATAAAGTGGTTATGCTTACATTCCTGTATAACTCAAAGTTTTTCAAAGTGACATTTCTCAAAGCTTCAGAAGAGGAATTGTTTATTGCTCAAACCCAGAACCTTCTATCTGTTCTAGTTCATACCATTTGCCCCTTTATTCCATATATGGTATTAAAGGGGACCACTTTTTTAAGTGCTGTATCATTTTATTGTTATGATTTGATATCCAATTTTCACACTGGTAGACTCTTTTCATGTACGTTAGAATACCCTTGAAGTTGGGTTTTATATCATTCATTTTACAGTGGTAAATATGTTTCCT